CAGCAGGAGTCCTTATTGCACAGTAGGCTTCTACAGAAAACCCTACCTGTATGGGACAGGGATCTTTATCCTTTGGGTTAATTTAATGTACTATGTTAAACATAGATTGTGCTCTTTATACTTTACCCCATACTAGGTTGGTTTTTAAAGGCTCTGCTATGGTTTTATTGCTAGGACCTGCATCCTGTTCTGTCTGTGCTTGAGTACGGCAGGAACCCCTTTGCAGCAGGTTCCTCTGCTGGTGAAGTGGTAGTGTCTGGTATTGGTCAACCTCCCTTGGTTAGCCAGTTCATGTATTAGAAACTGAACATATAAAATTGTCTTAAAGGATAATGTTCCTTAATTAGTGGGGGTTTTTTTAAAAAACAAAATTCATGGATGAAAATTGTCACTTTAGCATGTAGTCTCTTCTCTTACAGAATCCTGTGCGGTGATTCTAGAATTTTGAAACTGTATGATGTGTTATATTAAAAGAAATTTATTTGCTATCAACATTCCCTTACAAAGAAAAGAAAAACATACCACAAGCTGCTGTAACGATTTTGTGTCAAGATGATCCAATAAAATTTCAAAAAAGTTCATTTTGATTATTATAACACCTTCCTATTCCTACTGCCTTTTATTAAGAGGGAAACCCGACTGTGGGACCAAACTCTACTAAATGCAGTTTTGCACAACACCAAAGTGCAGGCAACTGTGGGTTGGAGCCAGTAGTTCCTTAGGCTGCCTGAGAGCTTAGCACAGGGAAGTACAAATGGGCTCTCAACCTAAAATGGCAAAAGGCGAAAGTTCACGAAGGCACAGTGTAAGTGCTCCAAGACCAGAACTGATAAAGTGGGGCAAGACACCCAAGTGGTTTTTAAGAGCTGGAATGTGCTGAGTTTCTGAAGTAGAGTATCTGACATGGCTTCCTGCAAGAGCTGAAGACAGGATTGACCCAGGAATACCTCCCAGTTCTACCTTTCTAATGCATATTAACAAGTGATACTTGATTATCAGCTCTCTTGATGGGTAGCAAGGGCTCTTGACTGAAAGCTGTGAAGACAGCATACAGAAAGGAGTCCTCTGGTGTGAAGGTTTGAATTTATACTATTAATGCCTCTTGAATTAACCTATATTTATTGCCTGATTTAACAGCAACCAAAGTTCCTCTCCATACCAATTGTTAATGACCACAAGAGGTCAGGACATCCATTTTAGGTCCCTTTGCTAAAAGACAGTATTGCAAATGGTTCCTCCAACCCATACAGTGCAGGGAAAAGAAATTATTCAGCTGGCCTAAGTGAAAACTGTATCTTCACTCCTGTTTAAAGCTTATAGATGTCTTTCTGTGTGCTGTTCTTGGAACTGGAAGATGTGTGTGTTGTCAGGAAACCCCACCACTGCACAAGTCCTGTAGCCCGAAACTGCCTGCTTTTGTGGGGACCCTTCATATCTGACCACATGCAAACTATGTTAAAGGAACATTGATTTTTTTCTATTGCCACCTCAATCACTCAGAAGGTGGGAAAGCTGAAAGTGTTAGCCTGAGAATTCAGGCTCCTTTTGTGTACATATGATTGTCTAATTACACAGTCCCATTTAAAGCATAGAATAAATGGTACTGAGTAATGAACAGCTGTTCGATATTTTGTCTCTGTTCATTGTATGTCTGATTTATAGCACCGCATTCAAACTGTTCTGAAGACAGTTAATTATGGCCTTTCATACATTTTCTCTGCTGCTCATCAATAAAAGTTTCTGTTACAGCCTCACAAACATTGATTTTTATATTCACATCACCCCTGGACAGGGAGGGGATGGTGTCACTCCTGCAGGTGAGAATTTTAAGCACAGGTGAGGGTTGTGTTCTCTAATTTTTAGTGCCCGCTAGACACTTAGCACTGGGCATTTTCTGAGTACTTGGCATCACGTAGCATTTTTGCATGTTGAAACCATATCTACAAGCCAGCAGCCAAGGTCTTGAGTCAGGCACTGAGAATCAGAAGAAACCATTAGTGTCCACTGTTAAAAATCCCAAGTGATTTGCCCAGCATCATGTTAGGAGCCTTGGGTAGGGACAGAATCTGGGTAGAAGCAGGGACAGAATAATCTGTTCTCCACAGCAATATTCATGTGTCTTGGGCATGAAGTTTTTCCTTGCAATCCCCTGCCTCATTCACTCCACACCTCATTTGTGCAGTGAATGGGGCATGGGGCTTAAAGAAGAGTGTTGTCCAGTACAAAACCTGATTAATTCCCAGTACAAGCCCAGCCTGCAGGAGAATGGTCATGACTGGACTGTTATGCATATGCACATGGGGACTTGAGGATGCATGGACCATCTAAATGCAGTCTGAATGCTATTGTCCTTTTTAAGTACCCCTGTAGGACTGGACTGATGCCTAGTAATAGATTACATTCACATATTGACACCCACCTGGCCGTTAGACCCACTGTTTGGACCTTAGCTAACAGTGGGAACAAATTGCATTAAGTGAATAACAGAACATGGGATAGATAACTCATGACACTAACCCTGTGTGCCCACAATTATTTCATGGTTAAAAAAAAAACAACCCTGAGTATGTGGCAACTTAATCCCATTTCATTCAGGGTGAACTGAGTTTAACATTTCCTACTGGGGGGGCAGGGGCAAGCATGGCATGTTCTGTGGTAAATCACCACTGTTAACTAGCTTTAATTGCATAGTTTGTCCACAGCCAGAGGAACCGGCGGCAGAAGCAGGATGTCATCAGTGAAAACCAGCCTGAGAGAGAGAAGGCAACTAAAAATGGTATGAAAACTGGAAATGTCAAGAAGACTTGATAGGCAGAGCTACCAGCCCTGCTTCTGGAGCCCATCATTGGCTCTGCTGAACTTTTGTTCCCCCTCTGTAGGTCTTGCAGTTCATTCCTGTTTTAATGCATCAGTCTTACCCTGGCACCAGTAATTTCATAGTCCCTTCTGGTGCCCAGTGGCTTTAAATGTTGGTCTCGCTGTATAAGTCCAACAGGATAAGGCTGACACTAGGGAATTCTGTGTATAGAAATGGCTGTGGAGACCAAAGGTATGGTAAGAAATGCATATAATGATTTAAGACTTGAGGACAGAGCCTGACTAGCACCCTAACATGAAAAGAAATGGCAACATGTCCCTGAGATGCATCTGTGAAGACTGTGTTGTACTTGGGTGCCTGCTTCATGTTTTACACTCAGCTGAAAATGTGCTGTCCGGGCAAGTAAACAATCATTTCCTTCCCAAACATCTCTTTACCTAGGTATTTAATTTTACTGGACACCAGGCTCTGTGCATGTAATAGAAAAGTGGCTCAGCAGTCAATTTTTCTTTCTGGGAGACTCCTGTCCATTTGCTGTCCTTCAGTGCTGTTCTCAAGCATGGTGTGCCAGGTCTCGGACATGGTGGCATTTATCCCTTGGAGACAGAGGAAACACAACAGAGCATGAACATTTTTAACTGTCCTGAAACGGATGAGCATTGTGTGAGCTCCTGTGGGGAATGGAGCTGCTGCAACCTCTGAACTCAAAGGAGCTTGGTGTGGGCTGGAAATTAAACAGCCTTTGAAGCAAAGAGCCAGACCCAGCTGTTCTACATTAAAACCCCAGCTGGGAGAAGTGTGTTTGTATTTACATGTGCTCCTTGTAGTAGCAAAGGGAAGCACCAAACAACTGGAGCCTTTGTAATCACTATGCAGAAAGGGCACATCTCTTTACTGTGGCTTCAGTTTGGGGATGAAAGAGCAAAGGAAACAGATCAGAGTTCACAAAAATGTGCCTTAGGTCAGAAGTGAAGAGTCTGGCCAGACATCCTAACTTCTAGGCAGCATTTGTCCACATAGAAGTATGATTTCCAGTTGTGGCAAAGCTAGGACAGGGGCAGCAAAGCAGCATGGCACATGCCTGCCCCTGGCATCTGTCCCTTGATTAATGAAGCAGCAATCCTCTCCTTTTCCCTTGTTGACAAAAGCTAAAAACAGCACGCGCACGCCTGGTGTGAGGGTAGGCAGAAGGCGTGAGCTCTCTGCTGCCTACATTGGTTCTGGAGGAGGGGCTTGACAACTTCTCTGCACTGGAAATACAGCTTGTACCTTCCAGACATTGTTCCACACTCTGCTCAGTTGTGCAGTTTAATTCCTCTCTTTTGAAATACCTTCTTTTTGCCCTGTTTCTCCACCTGCTGCTTCTATAGATGTCAGCTACAGGTAAGGCCCCAACAAACAGCGTAAAAGCAGGCGGCTACCTTTGCGGGCTATCAAAAGAACTCCAGCTCTCCTGTTCAGATGTCTGCAAGCTGCATCTTCCATCGCGTGATGGAGATTAATACGTTCAGGTGCATTAGCCACACTGGAAGCCATTTGCCACCCTGGGCTGCCACCCTTTGTCCTTGGCTCTGTTTTAGGCACTGCCACTGAGGCAACTACTCCATGGCTAAAATGCTGTCTATGCTACTCCCTGTGGGGCTTGGAGGCAGGGGAGCCAAAATACTGACTATGCCCCAGTATGCTATCCTCCTTCCCCCTGAAGCCAGAAGAAAAGCCATCTTATCAACTTACTTTCAAAGTTGAGCATTGCTGGGCTGTAGGGAAGCAAGATAAAAATCAAGATTACATAGTTTTAGTAGCAAACAAAATCCTGCTGGATCCGAAAGGTTGCCTGCTTCTCGGCAGGTGCCACGCTAAATGGGCAGCATCCAGCGTCAGCTATGCAGAAAACAATGTATAGAGCCTTGAGTTCCTGCTCTGCCTTGGCAGGGGGTGCTAGCATCAAGCCAATCCGGCTCCGATGGGTGCCAGTAGGTAACTGCTGCTCTTGGTGCATGGTTCTAAGACCTACACGGACTTAAGGGTCTGGGAGGGAAATCTTAATGTGATTATGCAGAAGATTGTTTTCGGCAGGATGCCTTGATGCTGGGAGCGCAAGAAAAAGTCAACAAAAAATTCAAAGTTGCATAAACTATGTCTATA